CTAATAACAGTATGTTGAGGTGTCATTTACATATAATAAAATGTACCATTGTTGCTAGCACAATTCAATGTATTTCGACACGTGCACACAGTCATGTAGAAGTTACTGGATGGTGCAAAGTGCTACTACCTGGAAGGTTTGAACTTTGAATCTACTCAGAGATGATTCAGAAGAAAGGCCTGGTGATCCAGCTTCCCCAAACTCAGCCCCTGACAACTGTATTGAGCACAGTTCTACTCTGATACATGTGGGGCCAACTGATGGGATGGCAACTGGTACGTGTGTGGCACTCTAGGGTAAACACTAGACAGCTAACCGAAAAGTCAGAAGTTCAAGGCCACCAATCACTCGGAGGGAGAATGATATACAGGGTGGCTCTGAATAGGGACTGACTATGGCAGTGGGGTGGGTGGGTATAGGTGAAGTTCAGATCTTCTGGTTAGTGGCCATTGGCTGGGTCCTGGGCATCCACGTGTTTAGTAAGCTCCCTGAGAAATCCTCAACGCTCTGTGGAACCAATGAGATGATGCCTCTGCTTATTGTTCTGGAGAGGAAACCGAGGCCCAGAAAACGGAATGTACACGATACTCCCAATACCCAAAATATTGTCGCTGTTGTGCAGAGCTGTCGAGTCAGTACCAACTCATAGCGACCCTATATGGGATTTCTGAGGGGTTTGAACAGCCGACCTTGTGGTCTGAAGTCCAGTGCTGACCCTATAGCACCAATTATAGAAGTCACCGATATTTACAGAGTATTATCTGAGCCCCAGGCATGGTTGTATGTGCCTTCATTCTATCACATGCCTATACTGCAGGTACTGTTCTCCCGACTCTGAGGTTCAGAGAAGTCAAGTAATGTACTCAAGGTCACACAGCTAGGAGGCGACAAAGCCAACAGTCTGCTCCCAGAAATCTCACCCTTAACCCCCTGTGCCATACTGCTTTGATTTATATCAAACCCCCTGCGATCAAGCTGGTTCCAACTCACAGTGACCCTGTATAGGGTTTCCGAGACCGTAAATCATTATGGGAGCAGAACTCAGAGCCCCTGATGGGTTTCAACTGTTGACCTTGCGGTTACCGGTCCAACACCTAACCCACCAGTGATCCTTAATATAATTAATACATTTTAATGATACAATCCTTCATTTCTATCATCAGCATGTGTTCTTCATATTACAGAACCTGGTCACTTTGGACTCACTGAATTTATAAACAGCAACTGCCCTCATTTAAGAAAATGTTTCGTCTTGGGTATTTCACCAGATTCTGAGGCATTCTGGGTAGTATATTATTGTTGGGTGCCATTGAGTCGGTGCCGACTCATAGCAACCTTATGCACAGCAGAACGAAACACTGCCCGATCCTGGGCCAACCTCACTATTGTTGCCACACTTGAGTCCATTGATGCTGCCACTTTGCCAATCCATCTTGCTAGGGGTCTTCGTCTTTTTCTCTGACCCTCCACCTTACCAAACATGATATCCTTCTCCAGCGACTGGTCCCTCCTAACAATATGTCCAAAGTATGAGAAACGAACTTTGGATATCCTGGCCTCCAAGGAGCACCCTGGCTGCACTTCTTCCAACACAGATCTGTTGGTCCTTTTGGCAGCCCATGGCATGTTCAATATTGTCCTTCAACACCATAATTCAAAAGCATCTATTCTTCTATGGTCTTCCTTATCCACTGTCCAGCTGTCATATGCATATGAGGTTATTGCATATACCATGTCTTCGGTCAGGCACACCTTAGTCCTCATGCTGACAGCTTTGCTTTTCAACACTTTAAAAAGGTCTTGTGCAGCAGATACGCCTAATGCAATACGTCGCTTGATTTCTTGACTGCTGCTTCCATGCGTGTTGATAGTTGATGCAAGAAGAATGAAGTCCTTGACAACTTCAATCTCTTCTCTGTTGATAAGAATGTTGTTTATTGGTCCAGTGGTGAGGATTTTTGTTTTCTTTACATTGAGATGCAATCCATATCACAGGCTGTGCACTTTGATATTCATTAGTAAAGATTTTAAGTCTTCTTCACATTCAGCAAGCAAGGTTGTATCATCTGCATATTGCAGGTGGTTAATGAGTCTTCCTTCAATCCTGTTTTTCTTCATATAACCCAGTTTCTCAGATTATCTGCTCAGCATACAGGTTGAATAAGTATGGTGAAAGAATACAACCTTTTTGCACATCTTTTTTAATTTTAAACCATTCAGTGTTCCCATGTTCTGTTCGTACAACTGCCTCTTGGTCCATGTACAGAATCCTCATGAGCACAATTAAGTGTTCTGGAATACTTATACTTCGCTATGTTGTCTATAGCTTGTCATGATCCACACAATCAAAAGCTTTTACGTAGTCAATGAAGTACAGATAAACATCTTTCAGCTTTCAGCCAAGATCCATTGGACATCAGCAATGATATCCCTCGTTCCATGGCCTCTTCTGAATCTGGCTTGAACCTCTGGAAGTTCTGTCAATGTGTGCTTGCAGCTGTTTCTGTAGTAACTTTAGCAAAACTTTATTTGCATGGGATATCAAAGAGGTTGTCCGATGACTTCTGCATTCTGTTGGGTCACTTCTCTTTGGAATGGGCACAAATACGGATCTCTTCCGATAATCAGTCGGCCAGACAGTTGTTTTCCAAATTTCTTGGCGTAGATGAGTGAGTGCCTCCTGTGCTGCATTATTTTCTTGAAAATTTTCAATTTTTATTCCATCGATTGCTGGTGCCTTGTTCTTTGCCAATTCCTTCATTACACCTTGGATTTCTTCCTTCAGTATCACTGGCTCTTGATCATATGGTACCTCTTGAAACGGATGAACAGCAACCATTTCCTTTTGGTACAGTGACTCTGTGTATTCCTTCAATCTTGTTTTGATGCCTTCTGCATCATTCAATAATTTGCCCAGAGAATCTTTCACTAACAAAAGTCAAGGCTTGAATTTTTTCTTCAGTTCCCTCAGCTTGAGCAATGCTGAGTGTATTCTTCCTTTTTGGTTTTCTGACTCCAGATCTTTGCACATTTTGCTGTAATATTTGACTTTATCTTCTCGAGCTGACCTTTGAAGTTTTCTGTTCAGCTCTTGGACCTCCTCATTTCTTCCATTTGCTATAGCATCTCTATGCTGGAGAGCAGGTTTTAGTGTTTTCCTTCTTTCTTGTCTTCTTAATGACTTTTTGCTTTCTTCATGTATGATATTCTTGATGTCATCCCACAATTCTTCTGGTGATTGGTCTTTAGTGTTTAATGTATCAAAAGTGTTCTTCAGATGATCTCTAAATTCAGGTGGAATATATTCAAGGTCATATTTTGGCTCTCGTGGACTTGTTTTAATTTTATTCAACTTCAGTTTGAATTTGCACATGAGCAATTGATGGTCTGTTCCACAGTCTGCCCCTGGCCTTGTTTTTCTGCAGATGTAGTCAATTTGATTTCTGTGTATTTCATCTGGTGAGGTCCATGTGTATACTCGTCTCTTATGCTGTCTAAAGAAGGTATTTGAAATGATTGATTTTGCAGATTTCTATCATGAGATCTCCAGCGTCATTTCTATCACCAAGGCCATATTTTCCAAGTACTGATCCTTGCTCTTTGCTCCCAACCTTTGCATTCCAATCACCAGTAATGATCAATACATCTTGATTGCATGTTTGATTGATTTCAGACTGAAGAAGTTGGTAGAATTCTTCTATTTCATCCTCACTGGCTTTAGTGTTTGGTGCATAAATTTGAATAATAGTGGTATTAACTGGGCTTCCCTGCAGGCGCATGGATATGATCCTACCACAGACAGTGTTGTACCTCATGACTGATGTAGATATGTTCTTTTTGACAATGAATGCAACACCATTCCTCTTCAATTTGTCATTCCCGGCATAGTGAACCATGTGGTTGTCATATTCAAAATGGCCAATACCAGTCCATTTCAGCTCACTAATGCCTAAGATATTGATGTTTATGCATTCCATTTCATTCTTGACAATTTCTAATTTCCCTAGATTCATACTTTGTACATTCCATGTTCTGATTTTCAATGAATGTTTACAGCTGTTTCTCTTCATTTTGAGTTGTGCCCCATCAGCAAATGAAAGGTCTTGTGGGCTTTTCTCCTACGGGCTTTACTCCATTCGCATCATCACGGTCAACTCTACTTTGAGGAGGCAGCTCTTCCCCAGTCGTATTTTGAGTGCCTTCCAACCTGAGGGGCTCATTTTCGGCACTATATCTGACAGTGTTTCTCTGCTATTCATAAGGTTTTCAGTGACTAAATATTCGGAAGTAGTTCATCACTCCTTCTTCCTAGTCTGTCTTTGTCTGGAAGCTCATCTGAAACCTATACACCATGGGTGACCCTGCTGGTATTTAAAATACTGGTGGCATAGCTTTCAGAATCACAGCAACTCACAAGCCACCACAGTATGACAGACTGACAGACGAGTGATGCTCTGGGTCATATACAGAGTACTTTATGCATGATCTTCCCTAATCCTCTCAGGGGCCCCTTGTGGTACACTGGGTAAGTGTTCCACTGTCAATAGAGAGGTCAGAAGTTCAAACCCACCCAGGGGCTCCTTGGGAGAAAAGCCGACAGCCTAGAAACCCTCTGGGTAGTTCTCTGTCACCTGGGGTTGCTATGAGTCAGAATGAACTCAATGGCACACACTAACAACACATCCTCTCAGCAGTTCTCTGAGGCAGGTGTTCTTACCCATTTTACAGATGAGGAAATTGAGCCTTACAACACCAAATGACCCACGTGCTCTGAGGCACACAGCTAGTAAGTTGCAGAGCTGGGATTACACTCAGGTGTCTGACTGCAAATCTCAGCAGACCCTTAGTGCTTTGACACATTTTATCCGGCTGGCTTTCCGTCCTCCACCTTTCCCAGTTGTCCCAGGAGGGATGAGAGCTTTCACCATGAGCCTGCATAGACCCTCATCCCTCCCACAGCCAGCAGCACCCCACTTTCCAGGCCCCAGGTGTGGACTCACCTTGATCACAATGCTGGATGGTACAAGTGGACAAGACTCTGGGCACCCCATTGGGGGAGCACTCGTTTCCAGACACCACCTGAAAGATAACATGGGTGTTATATTAGCTGAGTCTTCTGGGAAAATCAGAAGAATTGATTACCTCAAGGTTACAAGGATGCCTCACAAAAGAGAAACGTCATTTAAATGCCGCATTTCTAGAAACTACCGGGCCTCCTGTCACGCTTCAGGGAAACAACATGGCCCACTCTGTTATCTGGAGGGCACTCCACTGTGAACCGCTCAAGCTCACACACCCCTCATCCCACAGGAAGGTCCCACTTTATAGATAGGACACAGAGGCCCTGATGGGTACTCGTCCAATGAGTGATGATTCACTGCTCTGTAATCTGTGGGCCTAAGCTCACTCGGCTGTCAAGCACATACACAGTGGACAGCAAGCTTGTCAGATGCAGTAAAGTCAGCTGTTGTCCTTTCCTCCCTTTTCCACACCCTCTGTGTATCCTCTGCCCCCCAACCCCACTGTTGAAACCGCTTTCCAATTTTAGGCCAATTTCCCTTCCTTTTGCTATTTATTGTAGGTATTACAAAGAATGATGTGCAGATATATACGAATCCATATGGAAAGAAAAAAAAGTTGCAAAAGAAAATGAATATTATGCACATCTTTGGAGTCCTGGTGTGGCATTATAGGATAAGCACTGAACTGCTACCTACAAGGTCGGCAGTTCAAAGCCACCAGCTGCTCCTTGGAAACCTTATGCAGAGGCACTATGAGCTGGAATCGACTCGACGGCACTTATAACAACAAACAAATAATGCCATCTTTATAATAAAATTCTCTAAATTCTGCTACTTTGTTGTTGTTGTTTGTTGTTATGTGCCGTGGAGTCGGTTCCGACCCATAGCGACCCTCTACAGGGTTTCCGAGGCTGTAAATCTTTACGGGAGCAGAACGCCTCATCTTTCTCCCGCGGAACAGCTGGTAGTTTTCAAACTGCTGACTTTGCAGTTCGTAGCCCGATTCACAACTGCTACCTACCAGAGCTCCTTAAATTACGCTACTTTACAGTGACATTAATAGAATATTAATTTTATGCTAAATGCTTTCCATACAGTACCTTATTTTACTACTATATGTTGTTGTAGTTTTTAAGTGCCATTGAGTTGGTTTTGACTCATAGTGACCCTGTGTAGGGTTTCCAAGGAGCGGCTGGAGGGTTTGAATGACCAGCCTTGTGTTTAGCAAGCAGTCCAGTGCTGATAGTCAACTTTTAAAGGAGATTTTGGAAGAGAAGTTTAGGTTGGACTAAGAGCTGCAAAGTCTGGATAGAAGGAGAAGGAACCTAACAGGAGAAAATCGATATTGGGTCAGCTGAGTTTTGTCACACCTGGAATCTGCTGACATGAATGTCCTTGCACTAGAACCACAATAACATACTTTCTATTGTCTTTAATTGATATCCTTTATAATCAATACCTGGAGTGCTGGTGTGGTGCTGTAGGATAAGCACTGGACCACAAGGTCAGTTTGAACTGCAAAGTCAGTGGTTCAAACACACCAATCATTCCAGGGAAACCCTGTACAGGGTCGCTATGAGTGGGAACCGACTCAATGGCACTTAGCAACCACAACAACAACATAATCAATATCCAGGGAAGCAGAAGTCAAGAAATCAAATGGCATATCGCACTGGGCAGCCTGCTACAAAAGACTTTTTAAACTGTTGAAAAGCAAAGATGCCACTTTGTGGTTAGATGTACCTGGCCCAAGTCATGGGATTTTCAGTTGCCTAACAAAGCATCACTGTTGCCTTTCGGCAATGGTGTTGGTGAAGGATACTGATGATACCATGGACTTCCGGAAGATCAAGCAAATCTGTGTTGGAAAAAGTACAGCCAGATGCTCCTTCAAAACGAGGCTGGGGGTACTTTGTCTCACAAGCTATGAACATGTTATCAGGAGGGACCAGTCTATGGAAGGCATCATGTTTCATAGAGGATCCAAAGAAAAAAGGAAGACCCTCAATGAGACGGACTGACAACAGAGTCTGTGACCGTGGAGCAGGACTGGGCAGTGTCGTTCTGCAGTACGTATGGGTCACAATGGGGCACAATTGACTCGATGGCACCTAACAACAACAATCGAATAGGTTGTGCCTCATGGTGGCTCATAGATACAACAGAACCAGTCACTCCTCAGAACCCTCTGCAGGGTCATTGTGAGTCAGAGCTGGCTCGATGGCACTTTAACAATACATGCTCTATACACGTAATGGTTACGAATCAGGCTGCTAACCTCAAGGTCGGCAGTTCGAAACTACCAGCTGTTTCGAGGGAGAAAGATGAGGCTTTCTGCTCCTGTAAAGAGTTACAGCCTTGGAAACCCTGTGCAGGGTCACGATGAGTCAGAATCAACTCCATGGTACTTCACCACAACAACATACTATAAAATACAATTTCAAGTGCTAGACCAGTAATAATATATGCTGATGAGTATGTGGGAAAAAAGAAGCAAAACAATCAAATGAAGAGAGAATTCATAAAGGTGTGAACTCCCTATGTGGGTACAGGAAATTTTCCTGTCTTTTATATTTTTGTAGTGCTTTTAATTATTTAAAATAAGCTTATTTTCCTGAATTTATCATTAACTCACAGAAGAGATCATAAAATCCAAACATCAAACTCATGGGAACATTTGCCTAGGAGCCACGATTGGCACCCCACTTTTGAAAGGCCAAGACTTGGGTGGCAGATTCATTGGCCCAGAGAGTGTTTTCATTATTCTGGAGTCACAGTAGCCAATATCCAACCATCAGATGATTTCAATAACGCTTTATTCCTAGTCCCAATGAAAATTAAGAATCAAACCACGCTAGTCATCTTGATGGTGTATGTGGGCTGCAGGCGGCACTAACTAAGGCCTTCGGAGTAGACCTTTGCTCTTCAGGCCTGGTTCATTCAAGCTGTTATTGACTGCTCTCCTGCCAAGAACTTGCAGTTCCATTCCAGACATCCTAAATCAGAATCTACATTGTAGCATTGTGGGTTAATGCACTCAACTGCAAGCCAGTTTGAACCGCATAGTCAGCAGTTCAAGCCCACCAGCTGCTCTTCGGAAACCCTATACAGGGTCACAATGGGTTGGAAACGACTCGACGGCACTTAACAACAACAAAGTAATTCTTATAGATTCTGATTCAGTGTAGCTGGAAGAGAAAAGTCTGGTCTCAGCAGGGGCTCAAATGAACTGGAATGAAGCCTGGAGCTTGCTCCCAAATTGCTGCTGGTGGGTTTGAACTGCCAACCTTTCTGTTAGCAGGTGAGCATTTAAATTACTGCACTACCAGGGCCCCTTTCCAGAAACTCATATCCGTGAAATTTCTGAGGTGGTGGGTCTGGAATGGGTCTCAGAACATGCCTTGTTAAGAAGATGCTTGATGGTTCTGGAGATTGGAATATAACCAAACGATCCATGAAAAAGCAGGTCACCACTGATGGGCACTTAAGGAGCATCTAATGTCCCTGTCATCACTGCTAAAGCTTAGGCTCTCGTGACTAGAACTGCACTACCTGGTCAGTGATCGTCTCCAAGTCGTCCTCTTGGTCTTCAACTCTTTGTGGAACACTCATCTGGTTACCCATGGTGGCTGTAGTAGAGAAAAAGAGAGAAATGAAAACCTAAAGCAGACAAAATTCTTCCTAATATACATGGAGCTAAAATGTGGACATCCAATGAGAAGTCTGTGGTTGTATTATCATGAGCCCAGGGTAGAACAAATTGTGAATGTTTGTTTGGGGGAATGATTGGAGATTTGGGGCTTTTAGACTCAGCAGAATTAAAGTCAAAGTTTAATTGCATTTCCTTGCTGGGAGGAAATATTTATCATCACACAAAGGTCACTGGTGATAGAACTGATGCTAGAGATCAAATCAAGGAATTTTGCAAGATCAATGAATTACTCATTACAAACACCTTTTTTAAAACAACACGAAAGGCGGCTGTACACATGAACCTCACCAGGTAAAATGCACACGAATCAAACTGCCTACATCTGTGGAAAGAGACAATGGAGAAGCTCAGGATCACCAGTCAGGGGCCAACTGAAGAACAGACCATCAATAAATGGCTCCTATGAAAGCTGCACTGGAGTCCTGGTGTGGCGCTGACCATAAGGTTGGTGGTTCAGACCCACCAGTCGCTCCTCAGAAACCCTACACAGGGTTGCTATGAGTCATAACTGACTCAGTGGCACTTAACAACAACAATATATACAGATGACATATAACCTTGCTTTCTGACAGTGAAGAGGTCTTGAAGCACTTCTTGAAGACTACAACCTTCAGTGTTGGTTACATCTCAATGTCAAGAAAATAAAATCCTCAAAACTGGACCAATAACCAACGTCATGATAAACAGAAAAGACTGAAGTTGCCAAGGATCTCATTTTACTTGGATCCACAATCAATGCCCATGGAAACTGCAGCAGTTGTGAAATCAAACGATGTATTGCATTGGGCAAATCTGATGCAAAAGAATTCTCTGAAACGTTAAAAAGCAAAGCTTTCTCTTTGAAGACTAGCTCACAACCCAGCTCATGGAGTTTTCAACTGCTTCATATGGATGTGAAAGCTGGACAAAAGGAAGTCCAAAGGAGGAGTGATGTCTCAAGTATGGTGTGGGTGGGGTACTGAATACACCATCAGTGATGTCTCAAGTATGGTGTGGGTGCGGGTACTGAATACACCATCAGAAGGACAAACAAATCTGTGTTAGAAGTACAGCTACAGTGCTCCTTAGAAGTCAGGATGATAAGACTTGTCTCAGATACTCTGGACGCGTTATCAGGAGGGACCAGTCCCTGGAAAAGGTCAATCATGCTTGGTAGAGGGTCAATAAAGAAGACGCCCCCCAGTGGGATGGACTGGCCAAGTGGTATAGCAGTGGGTTCAAACACAGGAAAGGCTGAAGACGGCTCAGAAGCAGACAGTGCTATGTTGTTGTGCACGGGACCACCTGAGTCAGGACCAACTCTGCAGCACCAAATAACAGCTATGTGTGAAGACACTCTTCTAAAGAGCTTCCCTTCTAGCAAAGCGAAACAACTCCTTGCAGCAAATCAGTAAGGCAATAGTACTCTTGAGGCATTGTGGTTAAGTGTGCTGGCGAAAGACGCACAAACAAAAGCGCATGTGTGCACACAAACAATATTTGCACACATTCATGTCACGCCTCTCTCTAAATTCAGCTTCCAAAATTTTGAGAAGTAAATATTGAACACTGAGTTTACACACTTTTTGAGTTCCTACTTGCCAGTTCAATTTCAACCTAATCTGAGGGCTACTTCCAACAGAAATGACTGAGGGTATGAAATATCTTCCAACATTTTTATTGAAAGTAGCCCCCAGGCTGTGCTGAATTTAGCTGGGGGATGTGGGACCTGAGCAAGCAGGAGAGGAATGAATCGGGCTTAGATCATCCTGATCATATTATATTCTATGTCATCACTCACATACGCAGGGTTCACTGGACGACACATAAAAACAATTCACTGACTTCAGCACCAACTGTAATAGAAGCCACTTGGCTTCGACGTTGATTCTGGATTCTGATACCACTACTTTCCCACCAGGGGTCAAAACACAAGGACTGTGAGATTTTTAGATAGCAGGATTTACATGGAGTAAAAGCTAAAGGTTATCGCCACCTGTTGGTTAATGTCAGTATCAGCAGAAATCTATTTATCCTGCCTCACCTCAGAGAAGGGACTCTGGTAGCATAGTGCTTACAAATCGGGCTGCAAACCTCCAGGTCAGCAGTTCAAAACTACCCGGGGGAAAGACGAGGCTTTCTGCTCCCGTAAAGATTTACAACCTTGGAAACGCTGTACAGGGTCGTTATGAGTTGGAACCGACTCCACGGCACATCACCACCACCTCATAGAATCCTGGTGGCACTGCCATTAATCACTACACAGCTAACAGAGGATGGATTGTTTAAACCCACCATCTGCAAAAGAAAGGTATGGCAACTGTCTTCCATAAAGACTTACTAATTCCTGGGAAACCAATGGGACAGTTCTACCTTGTTGCATAGGGTCACAATGTATTGGAATAGATTAGGCTCACTCGGTTTGGTTTTTTGGTACCAGGCCTAACTGGGGTAGAGTTGATTCTGAATTATGTTGGCCTCAAGTATTATAGTAGAGTGGTCGGGAGGGACCAGTCACTGGAGATAGGATGTTTGGTAAAGCAGAGGGTCAGAGGAAAAGAGGAGGGCCCCCAGTGAGATGGACAGGCACACTGGGCTCAGGTGTAGTAACAGTTGTAGGGTTGGCCCAAGACTAGGCAGTCTTGCTGCGCATGGGGCGCTGTGAGTCGGCACCTACTCGATGGCACCAAACAACAACATTACAGAGTTGAACTTTGCTGTAAAAGGATGATCTTGGCTGTAATCTTTGTGACAACTCGATGACACTTAACAACAAATCTCTGTGGGGACAGATCACCAGGACATTCTTCTGCATCACTGCTGGATGAGTTTCAACTGCCAACCTTTAGGTTAGTAGCTGATGGCACACCCCTCGTGGTCCCCAGAGACCTTCAGCCTGCTAGTTGTTAAGTGCTGTCGAGTTAGTTCTGGCTTTAGTGACCTTGGTTCTGAGGATTGGCTGATGGGTTTGAATTGCCAACCTTGAGGTTAGCAGTCTAGTGCTTATCCTAGAGCGCGACACCTAGGTCAAAAGGACTGAAAGGCCGGAGGGAGAGATTTCATATGTAACAAATAAACCATCTGTCAAAACTTGGCAAGCTCTGCCAACTATTGGTTTGTCCCTGCCCAGAGCAAATAAGAGCGAAGAAAATATGGGGGAAAAAGTAAAACAAAACTGCATAAAAACTACGTGGCTACAGAACTAACGGACCGTGACCCCGAGAGCAGAAGTAGATGGTGCCCAGCTGCTCTGACTGGGGTCCTGTGGGAGGCAATAAGCTCAAGCTCACTGGTCAGATGGAGACTGGTGGAACCCCAAGACTGCGGCCCTCAGTCACTCTCAGAGCTGGAACTGGAAGGCAATTTCATGGCTCGACTTTCAGTCAATCCACAGACAGGCCTACAGGGTGAGCACCAACACCCAGAGGTATGCAGTGCTTGGAGTAACTAGTCACAGGGATCAAAGGGGCACTACCTGTCCAGGGCTGCAAAGTCGGTTTGAACCACAAGGTCGGTGGTTCTAGCTCACCAGCTGCTCCTCAGAAACCCTATCCAGGGTCGCTATGGGTCAGAACCAACTAGAGGGCACTTAACAACAACAAAGCTCAGAAGGCAGGAAGGAATTGGAAAGGAGGAGGAATGGAAACGAGAAACACAGGAAGTGGGAGAGTGTTGTTATACTGTGAGGACTGTAATCAGTGTTACACATCAAAGTGCACGATTGTTGGATGGAAAAACTGAATTGCTCTGCAAACTTTCGCTCAAATCTCTCTCTCTTTCTCTCTCTCTCTCTATCTCACACACACACATACACACACAGATACTGCAGTGCATATGATAACTATGACCGTGGGTGGTGTGGCGCTGCAGGATAATGCACTGGACTGCAAGGTCAATTTGAACCTTAAGGTGGTGGTTCAAATCCACCAGTCGCTCCTTGGAAACCCTACACAGGGTCGCTATGAGTTGGAACCAACTCGGATCACACTTCACACTTCACAACAATCTGGCATATACTGAGATCATGCCAGTCCCATCCTGAACACATGATGTACAAGAACATGAACGTGGACTCTGAGTTTGGCACCCCTGAACAGGAGGCTCAGGGCCAGGGACTGAGCCTTGCTGGGCATCAGTTCTGTCACCTGTACCATGGGGACAAATAACAGCACCCAGCTCAAGCAGTTGTTGTGAGAATTCAATGAGTTAACATCTGCAAGGTGCCAGGGACAGGCATCATCACAAAACAAGCATGCTGCAAGTGTTCATGCGATCGAGATCATCTTCACTGTCGCCGTGGCTTTGAATCTGTTTGGCTCCAAGTGGAGCAGTTAGAATCCACTGAGGAACTGGGCAGTACTTCTGAGGCCCAGGCTCCTCCCACAGGTCAGGCTGGGGTTCCTGGAGTCTGCATTGTTAGCACATGCATGACGGTGGCCATCTATCCAGGTTTTCCTGGAAATAAGGAGGTTCCAGGTTGTGGGTCTTTCAGAGACAAGACCAAGGCAAGCTGGCCACCCCAAGAGCCCCAAGACTTCTCTGAGTCAGGGGGAGGGAGGTTCTTTTGTTATATACATTTCACAGATGGCAAAACCGAGGCTCGAGGAAGTGCAGACAGACTTCTTGTTTAGGAAGAATTCTTGTCTAGGAAGGAGTACTGGTGTGGTGTTGTAGGATAAATAATGAACTATATGGTCGGCAGTTCAAACCTACCAGCTGCTCCTTGGAAATCCCTATACAGGGTGTCTATGAGTTGAAACTTACTTGATGACAATAACAATAGGCAGAAATCTGAATCCTGGTGGCATGGTGGGTTAAGCATTGGTCTGCTGACCTCAAGGCTGGTGGTTCAACCCTACCAGCCACTCCAAGAGAGAATGATGAGGCGGTTTGTATCTAGAAAGATTTACAGCCTGGGAAATGCTATGGGGTAGCAGGTCCACTTGACGTTCGGAGTTAGAATTGGCTTGGTGGCACTGGGTTCTGGTAATGAAGTGATCTTCAGGTCCCGGCAAATGAGAGAGAGAAAAAAGAACTTTTCATTCAGATAAATGTACTCAATGGAAAGAGCTAGTTTGAATTTTAGGGAGAGAAAAAACATACACATGTGTATGGTGTTGGAACTATGTTGAAATGCACTTTCTTTCGTGAGCTGGGGGTGACCTTATTGGACACTGAGCACCAGCCGCCATGTGGCAGGAAGTTTTGTTTTTGACTTTGGAGTGTGTGTGACCCCCAGCGCCTTAGATGCCATCATTTGCAGGGGTTCCTTCAGATGACAACGCTCCTTTTATTTTCTGCCCCCACCTGAGTCCCTGAGCGTAAGTCCTCAGTCTTGACTGCATTAGAATCACCGGTGGAGATGTGAACCTGGGCATCTTGTGATTCCCAGGGGTAGCCAAGCCAGAGATATTGTTCTGGATCATTTGGGGATAAGATGCTCCCTGAACCAGACTAATCCCAGGCACTCCTCATCCTGACATAAAGACCGAGCCTTCTTGGAGGCAGCCAGTCTTATAGGGCCCACCAACCTTCTGGGACACTCCTTTGTGGACCTAGAATTTTGTCAACCTGCAAATTCATAGAAAAGCTTTGAGTCTGCAGTATTTCCCCCACCCTCACCCCAAGATGGGTGTCCAGAGCTTGTTAGTCCCTGGACACCTTAACATTTCCAGTTGGTTGCTCTGAAGTGACCCGTGGATGTCCGGTGATGAGAAGGAGTCAGTCTCTCCTCATTTTCTGGGTCACCCTCTTGTTCCTCATCAAGAAAAAGAGCTTTGGAGTAAGACAGATAATACAAAAGAAATAAAGCCCAGTTGTTATCGAGTTGATGGACACAAAATCACCCATGTGAGACAGAGAAGAGCTGTGCTCCATGAGGTTTTCAATGGCTGATTTTCCAAACATCTTTCTCCCAAGGCAACTCTGAGTGGAGCCAAACCTCCACCTTTTGGATCAGCACCCAGGGACTCCAGGAGAGCTGCAAAACTGGAGTTGTGTGGTTTGGGACGAGACAGTTCACTTCTTTGCACATGCTTTTTCTTCTCGGGTAAAATGTGGAACGACCTCACGGTATTGTGGGAAAGGTTTGATGAAGCTTAGCCTGCAGCCTGGCATTTGTCAAGACATACGGTATGATTTCAAGTGTGCAATGCAAAACTGAAGAATTAGAGCTCACCACAGAGGGTTCAGACAAGACCTCCATGGTAGTCACATCAGTCAATGCTAGTTGATACTAGAGTATTTCTGTTCTAATGAATGTACAGCTAGAGTGTTCCTTTAGAAGCCAGGATGACCAGACTTTGTCGCTCATGCTTTGGACATATTATCAAGAGGGACAAGTCCTTGGGGAAGGACATCATGCTTGGTAGAGTGGAGGGTAGGCGAAGGAGAGTAAGACCCCCCAATGAGATGGATTGGCACCGTGGCAGCAGCAATGGGCTCAAGTGTAGCAATGATTGTGAGGGTGGTCCAGGACCAGGCAGTGTTTCCTTCTGTTGTGCACAGGGTTGTTATAAAAGAGTCAGAATCAACTCATGGTACCCAACAACAACATGCTAACGTTAGCGTCCGTCAGCTCTGACTCACCATTTAGAGTCGGCATCCATGACTGTCCTCCAGGTGACCTCACTGTAGCCTCCCTTAGTTACAGTAAGGAACCCTGGTAGTGTACTGGGTTAAGTGTCGGAATGCTAAGCACCACGGTTGGCAGTTCAAAGCCATCAGCCTCTCCTTGGAGAAAGATGAAGCAGTCTGTTTCCATAATGATGGACAGTCTCAGAAACCCAGAGGAGCATCTCTGTTCTGTCCCACAAGGTCGGCACGTGAGTTGGAATTGACTCAGTGGCAGTGGGTGGTTGTTGTTTTGTTTAAGTAGCAATAAGCCCTCCTCCGTTGGTGGAGCAGCAAGAACATGCCTGCAGTAAAAGGCTTAGAAATGGTGCGCTCAGGTTCAACCACTGCTGAGAATGTACATTTCCACCCAGATATGCTGAGTTCAAATCTACATTTTCACAAGCTCACTGGGGATTCTCACATGGCTTAAGATGCATCTTGTTGTTAGGTGTCATCAAGTCGGTACTGACTCATAGCGACCCATACGCAACAGAACGAAACACTGCCCAGTCCTGGGCCAACCTCACAATTGTTGCCATGCTTGAGTCCATCGATGCTGCCACTTTGCCAATCCATTTCACTGGGGGTCTTCCTCTCTTTCTCTGACCCTCCACCTTACCAAACATGATATCCTTCTCTAGTGACTGGTCCCTCCTGACAATATGTCTGATGTATGAGAAACCAAGTTTGGCCATCCTGGCCTCCAAGGAGCACTCTGGCTACACTTCTTCCAACACAGGTCTGTTGGTTCTTTTAGCAGCCCATGTGACTTTCAATATTCTCTTCCAACACCATAACTCAAATGCATCAGTTCTTCTACAGTCTTCCTTATTCACTGTCCAGCATTTGCTTCCATATGAGGTTATTGAAAATACCACGGCTTGGGTCAGGCACACCTTAGTCCTCAAGCTGACATCTTTGCTCTTCAACACTTTCAAAAGGTCTTGTGCAGCAGATTTGCCTAATGCAATATGTCGTTTGATTTCTTGACTGCTGCTTTCATGAGTGTTGATGACTGATCCAAGAAGAATGAAGTCCTTGACAACTTCAATCTTTTCTCCGTTGATAAGAATGTTGTTTATTGGTCCAGTGTTTTCTTTACATTGAGATGTAATCCATACCGAAGGCTGCGGTCTTTGATCTTCATCAGTATTTTAAGCCCTCTTCACTTTCAGCAAGCATGGTTGTATCATCTACATGCCTGATAATGCAACACACATCCATGACCCCATCAATTGTTTTCTTGTTTTCTGTTATATAGAGAAAGCAGCTCTCCTTTTGTTTCTCATTTCCTGCTCTGGGTAGTGTAGTGGTTGAGTCGGAACTGACTCCACGGCACATAACCACTTGCACCACCACCAAAGGAGTCCTGGTAGCATAGTGGGTTACAAGTTGGACTGCTAACCACAAGGTCAGCAGTTCAAATCTACCAGGATAAAGATGGGCTTTTCTGCTCCTGTGGAGATTTAAAGCCTCTGAAACCCTCCACAGGCTGGCTGAGTTGGAACTGACTCAACGGCACACCAGCACCAATGTCTGTTTGGAAAGAAGCCATGGTGTAGCTGTAGGATAAGCACTGGACTACAAGGTTGGCTGTTCAAGCCCACCAGCAACTCTGCGGGAGAGAGATGAGGCTTTCTGCTCCAGCAAAGCTGTGCAGCCTCAGAGACCCTGTGCAAGGTTGCTGTGAGTCAGAACTGAGTCAGTGGCAGTGAATTCAATGGTTTTAAGCAGCAGCCCTGGGGAGGTTATAGGATAAGCACTGGACTGCTAACCACAAGGTGGGCAGTCTGCTCCTGGAAAGATTTACAGTCTCAGAAACCCAGTATAGAGTCGGTATGAGTTGGAACCAGCTCAGACTCTTGCATCATGAGACCATGAGAGGCAGACAGGTGGTTAGAGGATTCAGCTCTCAGCGCAGGTTCTTGGGCTTTGTAGAGGGGGGGAGGAGGGGGAAGGGCGGAACAGGACCTTAGGTGGGTGGGACAGTGGGTGAGCCAGGGCATGCACAGAGGCGGCAGTAGGGGCGAGGACAGTTCCCAGAAGCAAGCTTCCATCGGTTTTAATACAATGTTCACACAATGTCCAAACCATATAAAGTCTATTTCACAGAAGGTATCATGTGCATCTGCCTACTGATCCAAAGAATCACCCAGGGGTCTTGTTAAAATGTAGATTCCTAGTCAGTCTATCCCTAGTGGAGAGGATCATGCTCAGCACAGGTGTCAAATTGGATTGAACTGGTTGGCAGCCTGGGGCTGCAGTTCCTCCCAGTAGACACTTAATGGAAGAGGGAGGTCCTTGAAGGGTGAAAGGGAGGGTGACAGAATGAGTCACTTGGTAAACAAGGAACACCTCCCATTGATGCAGTGGAATGTAGACAAACCTTGGGCCCCGCCTCACCGGCCAGCTGTGCGCAAAGCTAACATGGCCAGGCTGGCAGACCCAGCCGGACAAGGCCTCCGCCTCCCAGAGGCAAGGTCAAGGCACGGATGAGTAGAGACAGGACCTCAGAGCTGTGTGTTCGCTGGCCCAGGGC